CATGTTTAAGGCTCAGTTCTCCCAGCGTGCTCACTCCTTGATCAAAGGTGACCATCTTCCAAACAACTCCTCGCCAAGATTAAATAAAAACTGATGGAGGGCAATCCAACTCTTTACTCAAAGATAAACTGCAATTGCTGGCAATCTACATTTAATAATCTTCTACACTAAGTGCACAACAGCTGGAATTTTACTTCAAAATGAAAAGGCAAACAAGCAAGACCTTAAGACAGAGTAAGTTTTAAAATCAAACTGAATTTGCAGCCTCAGGTAYTCATTGCTTGTAAGCTCAATTAATTCACAAGGCATAAATTCTTTATGATACTTTACTACAGTTTTAGGTGAGCAAATCGAGCAAGAATTCTGCTGCTAACAGAAAAATCAAGAGTGTCAGAAGCTTGCTTTGTTCTACCTTCCCCTGCTGGGAAAACAGTAAGGTCACAATGTCTGTGCTCATAGACACTTCGGATCCTATTCCAAAAGGAACAGGACAAGCAACTGTGCTTTATTGAATCCATTCTGACTTCATCTTCTATGAAGATCACTGAGAAGGATCAAGAGCACCAAGCTCTGACATCTTCACATATCCATTGTCATTCATTTTTCTTCTGCCAGCCAACTAGATTTAATCCTGATTATAGCTAATGAAACAACAGCTAATGCAACATCAAAGACTGCTCTAAGCTTTGAAGCCTTGCTTTTAGTTCTTGTAGCTGTGACAATCCAGGACTAGAACCTTGCTCCACACAAGAGAAGAAATGCCAGCCTTACTCAGAACTTTTTATCCAAGAGAGATGAACAGGAGGACCAACATGACTGAAGAATTCTTTGAAAGGCCTTCTTTAATACAGTTTATGATGGCTATTCATTAGCCAAGCTTAAGTGGCCAGGAAAAACACCTGGTTTCACTAATATTTCCATTAATATTTTAATATTTCCTTAGTAGTGATAAAGTTTCAGACCAGTGAAAAATTGAGTCCCTGAGCAGGTCCTTCTAGAARTGGTTGCTAATGCAGCTGGCATGTTATTTGCTACTTTTATAATTTTTTTTTAACAAAGAAAGTACCTCACTGATGCTTCAGAGCTAGCACTGAACCTTCAGCATCTCCAAAATTAGGTTATAGTCAATCTTGTTTTGGAAAAAAGAACAGTGCTTCATATTCAAGTAAAAAACTGCGTGGGAGGAGTATAGTGAAATCCTGTATTTCACAATATTTTARCTCAAAACCCAGCTGCAGTAAAATTTCAGTTTGCAATGCTAAAAAAAAAAGCTGTAACCACAACGAAGTGTGACAAGCTTGAGGGCTAAAACAAAACACAGTTCATTGTGCCAACTATTTAGAGCTGCAGATGATTATCAAACCCCAAAATTTCACACCCTCCCACTTCAACATGAAAATAAAAAGCTTAGTGTAGTAGTTGTGATTTCTAGCTGTGTGTTAATTAGTTTAAACCTATTATTCCTAAACATCTTAGCTGACTGATAGCACTTGGGAACCTTTTAAGGCAGATATTTATATTTACTTTATGCACTTAAAACAGGCCCCTCAGCCAACAGCCTACCCTACCAGACAGCCAAATTTTGGGAGAGATTTTACCTCTCCCTGTTGTTTTTTTACAGGAGTCTGAAGTAAAGTTATTTACCCTCCTTGCCTGGAACTGGTCTCAAGGAGGTTAAGCTCTGGTTAAACRCAATGTCCSAAATGAAAACAAGAGAGAACCACARCTCTCAAGGTGTTTTTGGTTTGCAAAGCACCACCTGGAATTTAAAGGACTACACACAACCTGCTGAAGTACTCTGCTGCAGGGAGTTTCCCACCCAGATAGGAACCATGCACAAAAAAAGGGGAGAAATAGGCAGAGATTATGACACTCCACTGTCAATTCTCAAGATTTTAAAGCTGCAAGGATCCGGACATCTGACATTGTTTTCAAAGCCTCAGCCCTGAGAAAACTTATAAATGAAATCAGGTTTTTCTTTGGAGGAGGAAGGTGTTCTGAAAAGTCAGCTCTGTGCCTCCAAGCTGCCAAAAGGCAACTCAAAAATAACTTTTAGGCTTGGGTGTTAACATKAACTACCTGTTCTTTGATTACCTGGCTTTGGCAATACTATGCAAATCAGGTGCCAGACAGGCTGGTGACAAGAGAGATCAGGACCCATGCTCGTTGAATTAAAGTCAATGCAACAGAGTTTGTACAGAGTTTTTCCAGCTCAGTGATACATGTAAGCAGCTGGCTACCCATACYTTACTGAAAGCATCTCCTCTTGAGTACTCCCTGCTTGCTATGTGTTTTATTTTGCAAAACAGCCTCACTGAAAAAAACAACTCACTTTGTATTTATATTTTGGACATCAACACTTTGACTGGCCAAAGAGGAGAGGGAGGAAGATACATTCCCTATGTACCACAGGYATTCTGCATTAAGATACTGGAGTCACATGCGTGATTTTGAAGAAGAGCAGAACAGCAGTGGGTAAATCAAAAAGGCACTGGATTAGGAAATGGGTAGGTTAAACTTAGTCAAGAACTGCCAAAGGCATTTAAATGAAACACAGACAAGCAAACAYCACCAACACAGTAAGTTCCTGTGTGCCTCTAAGCTGTGGCCAGCACAGCAATGGCAGGAGAGAACATTTCAGTGGCACTAACAGAAGTTAAAAACAGTGACTTCAACACAAACCAGAATGGTCTAGCACAGGGGCAGCACCCCAGGCAATGTCTGCAGGGCCCTGGCACACTCCTTGGAAATGCCTGCCACAAGGAGGCAGAGTCAAAGTATTCAAGGCAAAGCAACTAACACTGCCACAAAGGAAAGGCACGTTCAGATATCCCACAGCAAGGAGACCACAGAATTAGGCCACCCAAMTAAATCAAGTTGCAACCTGCTCAAAAATGCTAGTCTGACCCAGACAAGTTGCTCTTATCTGTCTCACAGGTGAAAGTAAACACCTGAGATAGTAGGATTTKATTTGATTGTGGCAGGCAAAAGCAACTGCTGTAATAAACTGCATTCAGGAGTAGGAGTCTGTATCACCAAATACACACAGACCCAGAACCTCCACAACAGCTGCAGGAAAAGTGGTATTAACACCTGAACTCTACCGTTCTACCCACCACATGCAAGACACTTGTACCATTTATCTGGGTGGGTTAGGATAATTCCTAACATTCAACAAAAAATGCAGACAGCAATTAATAAAAAAAAAAACAAACAACCCCAAACAGCCGTTGTGAGAATTAAAACTTTTATTAGTGTATTCACATATTAGGCAAACGCAACACGCATGAAGCTTATCTCTTAGGTTCACAAGTTCTACCAATACATTAGTCTACTGGTAAAACTAGCACAAACTGGTAACTGCTTTGCCAATTTTTGAAAGGTGTCTTGGCCCACTTTTTCAAGGCTTGATTTTTGGTATTGCTTCTATGCCCTAGTCATTATGGCATAAAAATATCCACCACTATCATCAATTCAGTCAAGTGATTAAAAGCTGTAACACTGGCCACATTTTTGTTCTCAAAGCTAAGTTATCACTAGCTGTACTTACAAAGTACAGAACTAGTGTAATTGATGAAACAATGGAGAAAAACAGACAAAGGCAATCCTGCTACTGCCACAATAACAAAAGAATGACAGACAGCTAGATCACAAGATTGTTAGTAAGATGTGTATTTTTCAAGTCAGAATAACCCTTCTATACAGTTTCCCAACCCATCCCCAACCCAGACTTATTTGTAGAATATATTTCAGAATATTTTTAATATGGTGCAGCTGTAGTGTCCAAGGGTTCACAATAACATGCACTGTCATGAAGAACCTGGAAGTCCTCCTTCGCTGGTCATACCTCAGCAACCACTATTCTAGAGGTTTTGCAGAAGCAACTACTTTTAATAACAAGGCCCATTATGACATAATGAATGCATATGATCTGGTGTGTAAGTAAACTATAAAAGCGATTCAGATAAGAAATTTAAATTCTGTTACTGAAATATGTTAAGAAGCTGCATCTATTTAAAACCTAAACAAAAAGAATCTAGCTTACCCCAGAAAATRATTTTTCAAGGTATATGGCTCCAAAGACTAAACCATTATTTTTTAGTGATATATGAAAAAATGAAAAAAATACAGATGATAAGGGGTAAGACTTATTCAATGMAAAAAATACAGATGTGGTATGCCAATAACTTTGTGCACTTAATCCAATATCCAAAGCCATGGCAAATTCTCATTCCATGAGAAAAACCCATTTCAATGATCCAAGGTACAAAAAAAGTCCCAAATTACACCACTGCCAGCAATACTGCTGGGAACAGATGCAACAACTCAGATGGGTATCAAAAAGCAGACTGCTAGTGTGATGGATACTCAGAATTTGTAATATGAATTCATTTTAGGCCCCATTAAGTATATAAAGTGCCTTAAGACTTCACAGATGAATCTCAAGACGTTTCTTGCCCTTCCAATGGAGGGATTTTCTTTTTCATTAAGAAGGCAGCAAAAAATTAAGCTTTTCTATAAGGAAAGTCTTTTTATATTTAGGACAACTTGAAAACCTGCTTATATAAAAAAAAATACAAAAGAAAAAGGGAGCAAAGTCTTGGAATTTTATGAGATACTTGCCCCGATCAAAAAACCAAAGTGACTATTTATGGGAACTAAAATGTAGAACAGCACAATACTGTGATATTTGAGATCATGATACATTATCTGTATATATACTTAGCTATTCATGTTATTGATAACCATTAGGACACTCAATTATATACCCAATAAAAAACACCATTAAAGAGTCTTTAGAACTGTCCCTTCTTTCTGAAGAAGGCTTTTCTATACACTAAATTTTCATCTAGTATCAGAGTATAGGAAACAGAATCCACAAGGTGCTTTAACTGATGAGACCTCAAGTGCTGTTTTTTCTTTTTTTTCCTTTTTTCTTTTCTTTTTTTT